TGGATTTATTCCTTTTTAAAACAGTGAACATCGGAAATGAGACTGTGGGGTGTTTTTTGTTTTTTTAATTTTCTCTGTTGGGTTTTCAAGCAACCTCATGTCTCCTTTCCAGGGAGCGTCTTTATTTACCTCTTAGAACTTGAATGGATGGGCGGTAGAGCACTGTATTTCAGCATGCTTTGTTTTCTGATATGATTACATAGCAAGGCTTTAATGCCATTTGGGCAGGTAAGCTTCAGCACCTTGTCGCTGTGCTCAACAATATTTTCTTCTCTCATTTTCTCTTTTTTCTTCTCCCCCTCTTCCTGTCTCCTTCCTGCTGGCCTCCTTTTCTCTTTCTTTACCTTTCTCAGATTATCCTTCCAGGTTTTCGTAATAAATTTATATTTTGTAAAAGGATTTTGTTGTACCAGGTTTTGCATCTTCACTGAATCTGACTGGCTTTTATTTTCCTCTCCGAAATCAGGTTTTTGTTCTTAACATCTTCTCTCCCCATCATGTCCAGTCACTGTTTTGGTTTTGGCACCATCAATATCCAATGTACAAACGGTTCTTGCTAACCAACACCAGGTATATCTGATGTTCAGATGAGTTCCAATAAAATAATTTTTTTTTCAAAAGGTGTCATTTCTTGAGTACTGGAGGTTTTCTGAGCAAGTTCAAACAGCTCTGTGTAGCTCAGCAATAGTCTAGCCCTCTAGATTGGCCAAAGCTCCATTATCTCATTTGCTTATATTAATGTTAGTAGTCCTTTAGCCGAATCTGTAGTCCACTTTGGAGGGCTTTGGGCAGGAGACTTGATCTGTGATGGCTGAAAGCAGAAATGGAGTTCAGGTATGTTTTTCTAAGGCAGCATGATCCAGCAAGAACACCTGGATTCTGTCAGTAAGATCCTCCAAGGTTGATGCTTCTATGGTAGGTGATTGTGATACAAAAGGTCATATGAAGTAATGGAAATGCAAGTGTGTAGAGGGTTCTCACATTCAGCTGTGGTTTAGTTTCCTTTTAGAATCTTCAGAAGCAGTGGTTTTCATGATGTTCTCAGACCCTGGGAATGATTCTGAGGGATTTGCCGACTCTTCTCCAGTTTGAGTATTTTGGTATTCTCAGTTTTAATATTGTGTTTCTGTGCATAATTTTACTTGCATAGAGGTTTGTTTCTATAAAGGACTTTAAAATAAATAATCCATAGAGTTCCTAGTACTGGAACAGAGAGGAAAGGGTTTCCCAAACTTAGGGGATCCCCTCCCCAAGAGGCTCAGGGCAGCAGCCCTTTTCTCTGCTTCCCTGCTCAGTCTGTTGACTTCCTCTAGACCTGCGCTGTCCAATGAGTAGCTGCTAGCCACATACTTATAGTGTGGCTAGTTTTGAACTGTTAATGTGCTGCAAATGTAAAAAAAACAGATTTTGAAGGATAAGAGTGAAAAAATGTAAAATATCTCAAGTTTTTTAAAGTGTATGTTGAAATATTTTGGGTATATTGGGTTAAATAAAATATTATTATAAATCACATGTTTCTTTTTACTTTTTTAACGTGGCTACTGGAAAGTATCAAATTATCTATGTGGCTTGTCATTGTGACACGTTATACTTCAGTTGGACAGCGCTGTTCTAGACCATCAAGGACCAGCAGTTGTGCCACTACTTTCCCTCCCAGCCCTCATGTGAGCTAGTTTAGGCATAACTGAGAAGGTCATCTGCTCCATAGGCTGGTCTGGGCTGGGCTATCTCACCAAGGGTCCGTTTTAGGCACCAGTCTTCACAGTGCCAGGACTTTCTTGGTTGTTAAGGAGTCACTGCTGGTGTTAGGATCAGAAGCTAAGGTGTCTGCACTGCTCTGGTGCCCTGCTGTGCATTGAATTATGTAATCTGTGCTGCCCAGAAGGGCCACTAGATGCTGCTCTGTGATCCCTAAAGAACAAAGACTTCCTCAGGAACCAGGGCTCGGCCCAGCTTTATATGGAACCCTTTCTGGAAGCTGTAGCTGGCTGCTGCCTGGCCTCCCTTCTTCAGGCTCTCATGGAAAGTGGAATATGCAGAACAGGGAACTGGTATCATAGTCCAGCAAGGTAGCCAACAAAATTGTTGGCCCTTCAGGTAACTAGAATAGGCTGTAGGATAAGTAGGCTGGTTGACAAGGGTGCTAATTGGACATCTTCCCACAGCTGATTGATGAAGAGGACTGGGAAGAAAATCCTACGTCTTGCCTTTTGGGTCCTTGCTTTCTGCCATTTGGGGCAGATTGTTGTCCTCCTTTTCTTCCTGATGGAAGCTGGGGTGGGGGAGCTGTGTGATGCCTTGAAACAGGCAGGGCTGGGGTGGGTGGGGACAACCTCTTCCCTCAGCAGCAGGTAGGCTGGCAGTGCCATTCCATACCTGCTCTGCTGCAAATAAAGATTTTGCTTCTGACCAATGTAAGAAAGGTTGGGATAGTTCTGTGGAGGCTCTTTGAGGTGATAATGAAGGCCTGACTTGAAAAAGGCAAGAGATAACACAAGTGTAGCCAGACTGGCAAAGACCCAAGCAAATGTTGCTCTGTTTGGGGAAGCAGGGTGGTCAAATTTGGTATTGCCAACTAGGAATTGGAATAGCTAGTATTGAAATGCAGTTTCTAAGGGGTGGATTACAGGCTTGGAAATCTGGTTATAATTTAGGAAATTGAAAGCATTTAACCCTTGCTTAACATTGGGATCAGAAGGGAGCTTAAGACAACGGACACAAGGCCAACCTAGGAGCTGAGCCTCTAGTAGGGGCCTGAGTTCATCTTTTCTTTATAAAAGAAGAGAGACGTCTGACCAGAGGACCTGAAGGACCCAGAAATTACTTCTCACTTCTTACTATTAGGGGAAGGGGGAACACAGATAGCTTTATCTGAAGAGTGGGTAGGTTGCTGAAGTGGTTTGAACATGGTTTGTCCCTTCGAATTCCCAGGGCTTAATGAAGTTCCTTTGAGAAAGTGGGTGGTTATTGGAAGCAGGTCATCCTTGCACATGTGCTTACTCACCCACACTGCTTACTTGGGCTTCCCATTGGCAAGCCCTTACCTGGGCATATTGTGCTGCAGGAGCTTGGTGGTTCAACCTCCAGAATTGCGAGCTGCAACCACCTATTTTCTTTGTAGATTATTCATTGTCATGTATTATGTTCAGAAAACGGGCAAGATGTGTAGCTTGAGGGATGTTCAAAAGGAGTATATTGAATTAAGAGCCTGCCTTCCTCAAAGTGATGAGAACAGCTGTTGTGGACTTTTATATTATTTAGTACAGAGCAGTTTTGCACTGTGTGGTCACCAAGGACCCTAAAGCTTTCAGTTGCCACTATTGACAATAATCTGGGTAGTACATAAGCTCTTAGCACTTTGTGACTTGGCAGCATTCATCTGGATGAGATCCCCTTCTCTATCGCCCTAGGCAGTTGGCAGAGTATGCAAATGGTCAGTAATGGGATATTGATAGCCTCTTCTTGGGAAGCTTCCTCATCTCCAGGTCCAGATATGGTAATCTGAATTAAGAATTAGCTTTATAATCAGGTTTGCATCAGTGTCCAGAACCATACACAAATGAACCAGCAATAAACAGTAGCTTTTGCGAAGGATTTGGTTTCATTTCTGAAGCAACTCTTACCCGGACCAGAATTTTGCTCAGTTTTACAACTACTACTGTGAAGTTTTCAAGTTACATTTAGAAGACATTTAAATCAGGGTCAGAGGCTCCTTGGAGGCGCCGCTGCTTTAGTATTTAACATAATAGATGGGTTTAGGTCCAGCCTGTCGGTTGGTGCAGTGGTCCAGAACGGTCCTCGCCTTTCTGGCCTGGGTTTGGGATCTATCTAGTAGCGGGCGTTTACAAGGATGAAGGCATACATGTGCGTGTCACTAGGGCGGCCTCTAGTAAGGACTGTGCCCTCCCCGCTCAGTGGCGGACTTTTCATGCCCCGGGGGCGATAGTCTGCGTCCGGTGGCCGCGCGATGCCAGGGCTGGCGGCGGCAGATCGCCCTGGCTGCCGGCAGCTGCGGGCTGCGCGGCGGGAACAAAGGCAGCACGTGGCGGGGCGGGGCCGAGATCGGCCCCGCCTGCCCTCGGAGCGCCCCACCCGCGAGCCCGGCAGGCTGCGCGGGAGCTTGGGACTCACGCGGCCGCGCCGCTGCCGGCGAGCTGTGAGGGAGGGGGCGGCACCAAAGGGCCGGGGCGGGGCGGGGCGGGCGCCGGGTGTCCCCGCTGCCGCCCGAGCTGGCTCTTAGATGGGGCGCGGTGAGTAGAAGCGCATCCCGCTCGCGGCCGCATCTGCCGCACCGTGAGCGGCTCGAGTCGAGGACCCTGGCGGCCGCGGTTCCGCTACGAGACCAGGCCCGCCAGAGCCGACTCGTGGACGGCGCGCGCTCCCGAGGAGACTGCTGAGGCGCGCGCCGGGGGCGGGGGCGGTAACGCGGCGGCGAAGGCGAGGGCAGCCGAGTGGGGGGCGGGGCCGCGACGTCTGCAGAACCTTGGACAGAAGCTCCGGAGCTGCCGCCGCCGCCGCCGAGCGCGAGCCCCGCGGAGCCCCGCCGAGCCCCGCCGAGCGCCGGGACTGCGGCGGCTGAGCCGCGGCGCGCACTGCGGAGGGCTCGGAGCACAGGAGCCGCCGCCTGCCTGGTAAGCCTGCGCTGGGCGGTCGTCCGCTGTCCGGCAGAACCGGGTCCCGGCCGCGCGAGGTGGGGAGGCGGGGGTCCGCGGCCGCCTCCGTGGGCGACCAGCCTCCTCCCTGCTGCGCCTCCAGACCGCGGTAGCGGCGGGCGGGGGTGCTGCAGTGGAGGCGGCGGGGGCGCGGGCGGGGCCGCGGAGCTCGAGGAGGCTCGGGCGAGGGTCTGGAGGTAAGCCCGCGGGGGCCGCGAGGCGCGGGGCAGAGGGGGCGCAATGCGGAGCACCTCTTGGTGTTGAGAACCATCTTGTTTTCCACGCAGATCTGGAGGGGCAGCACGCGTGCCGGGAGCGTCCCCTTCTCCTTTTCGGGGCCGCCGCAGGCTCAGTGAGCCGTTTTTTCCCTCTGGCCGGCAGGCTGGGCGCGCAGGGACGCGGGCCCCCGCTGGGCGCGCAGCGGCACCATGGGCACGGTGCTGTCCCTGTCCCCCAGCTACCGGAAGGCCACGCTGTTTGAGGATGGCGCGGCCACGGTGGGCCACTACACGGCCGTGCAGAACAGCAAGAACGCCAAGGACAAGAACCTGAAGCGGCACTCCATCATTTCCGTGCTGCCTTGGAAGAGGATTGTGGCCGTGTCAGCCAAGAAGAAGAACTCCAAGAAGGTGCAGCCCAACAGCAGCTACCAGAACAACATCACGCACCTCAACAATGAGAACCTGAAGAAGTCGCTGTCCTGCGCCAACCTGTCCACATTCGCCCAGCCCCCACCGGCCCAGCCGCCCGCACCCCCGGCCAACCAGCTCTCAGGCTCCCAGACCGGGGTCTCCTCCTCTGTCAAGAAGGCCCCGCACCCCTCCGTCACTTCCGCAGGGACGCCCAAACGGGTCATCGTCCAGGCATCCACCAGCGAGCTGCTGCGCTGCCTGGGCGAATTTCTCTGCCGCCGGTGCTACCGCCTGAAGCACCTGTCCCCAACGGACCCCGTGCTTTGGCTGCGCAGTGTGGACCGCTCCCTGCTTCTGCAGGGCTGGCAGGACCAGGGCTTCATCACGCCGGCCAACGTGGTCTTCCTCTATATGCTCTGCAGGGATGTTATCTCGTCTGAGGTGGGTTCAGACCATGAGCTCCAGGCCGTCCTGCTGACCTGCCTGTACCTCTCCTATTCCTACATGGGCAACGAGATTTCCTACCCGCTCAAGCCCTTCCTGGTGGAGAGCTGCAAGGAGGCCTTTTGGGACCGTTGCCTCTCTGTCATCAACCTCATGAGCTCCAAGATGCTGCAGATCAATGCTGACCCACACTATTTCACACAGGTGTTCTCTGACCTGAAGAATGAGAGCGGCCAGGAGGACAAGAAGAGGCTCCTTCTAGGGCTTGATCGGTGAGCCCTGTAGCCCTGGTCATGGCTCAAGGATTCATTTTTAAAAATTTATTATTAAATCAGAGTTTTGTGTACAGTATGTGTCTAGCAAAGCCACCAAGGGCCTCCCCCTTCCCATGTTCTCTCCTTGGGATTTTTTCAGCCCTATGAAGAATTCTGGAGACTTGAACTCTCAAACCTTGTGCAAACCCAGATGTACTCGAAGCCACCCAGGCTGACCTCCCCCTTTGGGGAACCCAAGGGGCTGACTAGCCCCTGCTGCCTGTGCCCTTGCTGGATCCATGGTGGGTGAGGCTGCCCACTGCTCCCTGGATGGGAGCTGGTGAGAGGGTCTCTGGCTGCTGGCCCAGGGAGGAATTGGGATTTCTGGTCAGAGGTCCAACTGTTTTGGATGGTTCATTCTCCCAGAGGCTCCTCAAGCCAGCTACCCTGACTGAGCCTCAAAGACAAGGGTTTTGAAGCAAGATCCCCATAGCCCTGGGACATCTTCAGTAGAGGAGGGGCAAAGTGGGTCTCGTGCAATGATTGTGTCCAGTGGTTTGCCTGCGCACGGCCCTGGTTTGCGTTTTCTTTTTTAGGGAGAAGGGCTTTCCTTTAGTGGAGAAGTGGAACTTGCCCCTCTGCCCCTTGCCCACTACTCCCAGCTCCCACATTAGTGTTGGCTAATGAGCTTGTTTGCCTCATTAGGTTCTTATTTTGGGTCCCAGCTGAAGGGGTGGGGGTGAAGCTGGGGACAGCTACTTTCCTGGGTGAATTTTTCATTTGAATAACACAGCTTAGTCACCCTGTGGTGAAAGCCAGGACAGTGGCAGCTGCCCATTAGCAACAGCCTGTCTTCTGGGCAGGTGGAGAAGTCCACACCTGAGACCAAGCTGGTGCCCACCTAAGTGCTAAGGCCTCTTGCTGGTGCACATGACATTTGTCCTGCCAAGTCGGGGGAGGTGAGATCAGCAGTAGGGGTGATGTGATAATGGTGTATCCCACCCCCACCCCGTGTTAATTTAAAGCTGTTTCCAAGCAGTTCACTTTCTTCTGGAGAGGAAGCCTTGCTCTGTAAGGCCCAGTGAGACAGCTGGATCTTGGAGATAATTACAAGATGGGAGTTTGACTCCTGATTGCTTTGGAAGCTTGGTGATTCTGTAGCTGATTACTTGCAGCTGCTAGTTTTGGTGTCCACCTTACCCCAGTTCTATGAAAACACATGTTATGTACTTTACCTGTTTTCTTTCTAATTCTCCCAGACTGGTGGCTTGGGAGAGGTCCACGAGAAGGAAGCAAGTCTTCCTGTGTGGCCCCCACTCTTCCTTTGGGGAACAAATAGCAGTGTGAAGATGCTGTAGAGGATTCTCTCTTCCAGTCCTGGTCACCAGGGAGTGCTGGAATTGGGGGCTGGGGTGGGGGAGGCAGAGGTCATTTTACATAGGATTAGGTTCTAGGTGGCTTCCGACTTCTGCACAAGCACTACTGAAATTACATAAAAAAAAAAAAAAAGCTGTGAAATTGAGGTACCAATTTAAGAGGCCTGGAGCAGAGCCTTTTGGTCTGAGGCTTTCCCAGAGATGGGGAAGAGGGCCTGTCCTGCTGGAGAGCCTTTCTCCAGCTACTCCTTGAGGCCCACACTGAGCCAGTTCCTGGGACTGTGAGATAATCAGATGCAGAGCTGGAAGGCACCTGCGGCTGCTGGCACAGACTTCACCACAGCCTCTCTTCTCTGCTGGTTTTCATGCAGCCTGTCTTTACATCCTGCTGCCACTCGTGACCCAAGGTGGGAGGCCTGTGGGGGCAGCTGGCCCCTTCGGGCACAGAAGAGGAGCTTCAGGTGCCTAGTCTCAGCAGGAGGGTGCATGTTTGTAGTCCATACAGCTGGTTGAACCTGGCCTAGAACTGTGCCATTAAGTTGCATCCACAGGATTCCGGTTTTTTATCTGTTTCCTTCTCTCTCTGTAAATTTTTTTGTTGTTGTTATTGTTGTTTTTTGTTTTTGTTTTTAGAGGAGGTACACATTTCAGGAGATATTGTGGACTAAGAAAACAACTCTAGTTCCACCAATGTGAAGCCTGTGTGTTCTCTTCTCTTCCCTTGCACTGGTCATCAGTATTGTAAAGGAGCAACTGATATACTTGAGTGTGCAAGCAATGAACCCATTTGACATGCTGCTATGAAGACTACTTTTAGAACAACAACAAAAAACTAACCTACAAAAAAAAAAAAAAAACCTTTATTCTTTAATTGTTGCTTTTACAGTGATATTGTGCATGCAAACCAGGAGCATTTTGTGTCTTAAGAAAAATAATCTTAGAACAGATGGCTGTGAAAATTACACCCATGCACAGAACAAGCCACAGGAATAATAGTTCAGGATTTGGTTTTTCTCTTTTTCTTGTAAACCTGAGGGTTGATATATTCTTTCCATGCAGTTACTAGAATTTAGTTTTGTTCCAACGGTTGTTAAACTTGCAATGAAAAGAAAATGTGCCATTTTTTTTCCTCTCAGAACTATTCATAGCTGTATATTTGAAACTGCTAATTACACATGTGTGATATATGTTGATTTTTTAGTGCAATTTCTTCTGTAGCTATTCTTTGACCAAACTGTGGGTATTGTTAATATTAATTTATATTTGTCTCATTTTGTATGTATGTGTAGTGTGTGAGTATGTGTGGTTTATAATCTGACAGTCATGAAGCTCAGTTTGGCTGTAATTTAATTCCCCTTTCCTTATTTTTATTTATTTTTGTACTGTGCTGATTCAATAAAATGCACTGACCATCCATTACATAGACCTCTTTTTGTGGGCCTGTCACTTGTGAGCAGGCTGGGATACTTTTTAATGCATGATTTATGCACTTGGAATTAAATTGGATTTGTGTTATTGGGGAGGGCAGGTGGAACAGAGCTGGGGGAAAGGGCTGAACACACTAAGGAGATTAAGAAAGCAGCACAGGTTAAGTAGGCTTTGGGTTAGTGGTGGGGGCTCCCTTTGTGGAGGCGGATGACCGGTATGTTGAGCCAAGGAGGGTCAAGATCACACATATGGCCTGGCCAGTGCTGGCCAAGTGGGTTTCTGCATGGGCACTGGGCCTTGGACCAATATGTTGAGGCTTGTTGCTTAAGGCTGCTGCTCCTGTGTCCCTGAGCCTGGCCCTGCTCAATGCTCACTGCCCAAAGGCTCCTGGGCCAGTAGGGGTGGACTTGTGTCCATGTTTAGGTTTAGGTCTATGTAGGTTTCCTGCAGCGAAGCTCAGTTCTGGGGCTTCCAGAAAAGCAGCCAGCCCAGCCTGCAGTTTGGGCAGGGTAAGAGCCTCCTAACTCTGGTGGTTTGGGCCCAGTCCTGTCGAGCTCATGCCACCAGCCTCAGCTCTGGGAGAGGGCAGCGGGGACTTGGTCTTCCCTTGCTCCTGCACCTGGTTGTTAGAAGCTGTCAGCCCGGGAACACGGTTACTGGTTTCCTTAAGGTAACTCTCATGGGCTGAGTCATATTTTCCTGCCAGTGACTGGGAAGCACTCTGAGGTGGCAGAGCCTCAGGTGCTGGGAATGCCCCATGGCCCCCTCTAGGCCTCACCTTGTTTGCCTGCAGCTCCCACTCCTACCTGAGAGCCCATTTTTGCTTTCACCTCTCCTTCCACCCCGCCCCTTCTCCAACCAACTACCTTGGAATGAGGCCATTTTGTCCTCTGCCATAAGATTCTGAGCCCATCCAGTATACATGTTTTTATTTCAGTTAATGTTCTCTGACACCAAGCAATGGGCTTCAAAATTTATTATTTATGGAACCCAGGGGTGCTCTACCACTGGGCTCCATTGTTTTTTGAGACTTGAGGATTTTTTAAAAAATTTTCTTCTCATTTGTAGATGTTTATTTTTATGTGGTGCTGAGTATTGAACCCAGTGCCTCTACCACTGAGCCACGACCCCAGCCCCTGAGACTTGAGGATCTTGCTAAATTGCTAAGGCATGATATGACATCCCATCTTAGCCTTCTGAGTCACTGGGATTACAGGAGTGTGTTGTCATGCCCAGCTCCAAGCTTCTGGATTCTGGAACACAGGCTTCAAAATGGTATAAGAAAGTGTTTGGATCGAACTCCACAGCCTTCTCTCCCCACCTCCTTATTCTTCCTTCCCGTTCACTAATAACTCTTTACTGGGATTGAACCCAGAGGTGTTTTACCACTGAACCACATTCCAGCCCTTTTTATTTTTAGATTAGGTCTTGTTAAGTTGCTGAGGCTGGCCTTGATCTTTGCCGACCCTCCTGCCTCTCTGCTTGCCCAGGGGCTGGGATTACAAGTGTCCGCTACCGTGCCTGGCCTTGATCATGTTTTTGTTGAAAAGCCTTGGACAAATTATCCTCTATTTTACATTATTTGTGCTTAGTGCTCTCTTCTGTCCTCTAGAATAAGTTGACTTTAAGCTAAAATTTTACAATTATAATGTTCAATGACAGATAAGAAGAACACCTTTGAAAATAAGATTTAATGCTTTATTGCTCTTAATGTAAATCAAAATATGCTTTAGAAATAAAGTTAATTTAATGGAAAATAGGAATATATGCACCAAACCATAAAACTGCATTTAAGTCAATCAGGAGAACCCACTTCATTGCATACAATCACTGCCTTCTTCCCTTTGCCCCCCTGATGCATTCCCATGGTCAGTCCTATCCTATAGTCTTCATCTTTCTTCCGTTGCCACACCCTGTGACTTCTTTTAGTACATTATAAAAAAGTGTTTGTGGACAGCAGCGTCCAGTGGCCTCAACAGGAAGGCCCTGGTGCTGGGCTGAGGGGCCCCAGGCTACATCAAAGGGTGGGAAAGAAGAGTCCAAGCCCTTCATTTTATCCAGCCTTTGACAGGCAACTCATTTGGCATGATCTATTTGGGTGTGTTTAAAACATGTGCAGTGTCTAGTGTAAAGCAACAAGTTTGGGGCGATAAGTGGAAAGGGGAGGTGAAGTTCCAGTTAGATGGTTCAACTAGTGTCTACTGGTGATTGGCAAAACTATGAGCGTTGCTAAACTGGGCTAGTGGCACCTCTGCACTGTGCAGGCAGCTGACCAGGTTGGAGAATGAGAAAGTGTTCCCAAGGACAGGATGCCAAAAGGATTCTTTGTTGCAAATTGCACATAGTGCAAATCTCTGCAAATCCTGGGCAGGGGGTGGGGGTGGGAGGATGGGGTGGGGTGTCCAAGATGGTGGGACCACCTTGGGTTAGCCAGGTGACCGCATCAGGCCCAGGAAAGACACAGGAGCTGGCACACAGGCACTTGGTGAGTTCCGCTGGGTCAGGGTGGGAGGATCAGGAGGGGCAAGCATCTGTGGCAGAAGCTGAAGACAATTTGTCAGCCCACTTTATACCCTGCCAGCTGCTCCTGAGGCACGGGCATACCCTTACCCCCTTTCATTATGGAGTATCTGCTCCAAGGTTATTTTTTTTAAGGCTCCCCAAAGAGAGGCCTGTGCTGCCCAAAGGCCTCAGTATTCTTAACAGCTGAGGCTTGGGGAAGAGGGAGGGTCTCTGAAGTGCATGTGCTTTTTTGCTGACAGAAACTGGCAAGATGGCAGCATTCTCCTGGCAGGAGGCCCAAGGCCCCAAGCTCCAGTGGGGACATGTGCACAGCTTTGCAGGGGGATGTGGGGACCCTGGCCTGGCCTGCAGTGTCAGGACCCCATGCTCTTGATTCCTGATGCTCTGCCTCCTATGGTTCCTGTATGCTCGGAACCCCACCCTGGTCCTAGTTCTCCCAGTGAGTAGGAAATAAGGAGTGAGAAGAGGAGAGCTGCCAAGCACCAGCGCTCCCCTCACCCCGCACCTGCATTTCCTCATTAGGCCTCCCGACACAGTGTGGCCACAGCAGAGACCATATTTGATTAACAATCCTGTAAACTGCAAAAATCAGTGTAAGATGGACGCGGGCTGTAGGTAGGGAAGTTAGAATATCCTCAGGGCATCATCACACTGTCTCCACGAAGAGTTGGTCAGAAGGCCCAGGCTTCTGGTTCCTGGTGACACTGGTAGTCTCTGARGGGCAGGCTCTGGGAAGGAGGGACTCTCTGTTGGGGTCTATAGGTGAACCTGCTCACCTGATGGCTTTGGCTGGCTGGGGAAGGAGGGTCTGCTTAGGCACTCTGAGCTGGGTCTCCAGGACTGCAATCACCTCCAGGAGAGGCAGCAGGCAGGACTCGGGGAGAGAACAGGCTACAGCTCAGCTCAGCCACCAGGTCTCCTCCACTCCCCGGGGGAGCACCACTTTTGCTGGGGAAACTTCATTCTGGGCTCCCCCAGCCCATCTCTTTGCAGGGGTCAGCAGCTAGACTGACTCAAGGCCCAKTGGGTTGACCTGGCCATTTGAGGGATGGCTTCA